TAGGAAAATATGATATTCTAAAAGTTTACAAAGGATAAATATGATATTTATAAATTAGGTTGGACAAATATGATATTTTGAGGTTTAAGAAGGGTATATACGAAATTCACCCTTTTGTATAAATGCTTATTTTGTAGGGTTTCTTTTTATTTGATGGTATAAAAACTAAAAAGATTCTAGCCGTTAAGTGTTGTCATACCTCATTGAAGTCAAAAGTTCAAGTCCAGTCCGAGACATATGCAGATGCAAGAGTAGTTTAGTAGTAGATTAAATTTACCGTTAAAAAATAAAAGTCATTCGTACATAACAATTTTTCTAAGCGTATAAAAACTTGTTTTTTTTATAAGAGATATTACCTATTTGATCGGTATCTACTTCTTCTAATAGTTGCGGTATAACTTTTATTTAATACTTGGTTGTTTTTTTTAATATGGATTAAAATTAACGAACATAATACATAATGACAAAATATAATACTTTATATGTTATTAGCCTTAGGCTCGAGAGAGTGGTGTCAAGTTTGCCACGGTTCACGTAGACCCCGCCCATGATTTGCCACACTCCTTCAAAATTTTGTCATTTAGATGGTGTGGGTTGCCACACTTGCTATGCTATTTTTTTCCCTAAAATTAATTAATATAAAAAATAAACATTTCAAACGATTATTCTTTAAAACTAAATTTTCATTAAACCTCAAAAGAAAATTACAACACAAAAAAAAAAAACATAGAATTTCAAATTACGAACCTAGAAATTTAAATAACGAAACCACGACCCTAAAATAACGAAGTCTAGATGTTGTATTTTTTCGCAACCTCCTCTTTTTCTTTTATCGCCATTTCTTTTTCATGTCCGGTGAGAGCGCTAGTGTCTCTTGTTAAGATCGCCACGGCACATTTTTTTCTTTTCTCTTGTGCGACCACCAAATATTGTTCCAAAAACAACTTCAAGTTGTCCGTTTTGGTTGTTAGTTGGTCGATGTCACTCGGAGCACTTCCCGAACCACTTGCAGTCACTTTTCTTTTTGGTTTGACTCGGTCTATTCCCATGAGACGAGTGGTTCTTGGAACCTCAAAAGGCTCCTCTTCATTGAGGTCAATCCCGACATGTGCATCGAACGATTGACTATGTGTCGTTTCGGATGTTTTGGTTATTTTAGAAGAACCACCCGTAAAGGTTTCAGAAGCATCGACGTCTTGCCATTTTTTTGACAATTTCACAACATTCCAAACATGTAGAAATTTGAAATTCGCCCATTTTTTATTCCGGTAAACTTCAAGAGCTTTTTGCAAAATTGTTTCGTCATTTGCACCATTTTGCCATTGTCGTTTGACATTCGAAAACACCCCATTAAACCCCGTCACCACTTTGTTGACATTTCTTCACTTCGAGTAAATTTGGTCTTTTTTTCCGGTAGTCTCCAAGATTCATCTCCGTGAGAAAACACCGTGTAATTTTACGGAAAAAAGTTGGACAATCTTGGTTGTTTCCGACCAACGGATCTTTAGAAACATCAACCCACACACGAGCCAACGCATTTTCTTTGGCCGGTGTCCATTGCCTTGGAGTTGCCTTTCCATTTTTCTTGGGTCGTGGTCGAATCTCTTTCGGTTCCGATTTCGTTTCGAGGACGAGTTCGGGTTCTCCATGAGTTTGGAATTGGGTTAGAAAATTCATAGGAGCCGCGAAGATCGTCAAATGGGTTGAATCATTTTCCATTTGAGATTGAGGTTGAGATGAGAAGTTCATTTGAGGTTGGTTTTTGAAATTGAAGTTGTATTTTAAATTGAGGTTGGTTTGAGCTTGAAATGGGTAGTAAACACCACAAAAGTGTAAATTTGGTGGTGAATAAATAAGCCGATCGTTTAGCTTTGAACGAAATTTGGTGAAGAATGTGATATTGATGTAACATCCCATTTATTGATTAAATAAGTAGATAAAGATTTATAAATGGATTATAGTCCTGAATTAGATAATATTGAGCGGGGTGTTGGTGTTGGGGAGCAAATTGATTTAATTATGGATTTTGAGGGTTAAAGTGTAATTTTTGGGCCACTTTGTAAATATTTCTGGAGGTGGAGGCTGGTTGGTAATTGTTGGGACTTGTATTGTTATGAATTATTAAAGATAGGGGGCTGAATGGTAAGTTTTGGACCTTAGATGAAAGGAATTTATTGAGCCAAGGGCTAAAGGGTAACTTTTGGATTTTCTTTGAAAATAACTTAATGGGGAGGGACCAAAAGTGTTTAATTGGCATTATAGTTTGGGATGGACACGGGTTAATCCCGTATATTTCTTTCCTTCTGTTCGGATAGGATAATGGAAACCCTAACCCTACACCATTGCTTATCGGCCGCCACGATCACGTAAACTCCTTTCAACCACCACCTTGAGAAGCTCCACGACCGCTGCTGCTGCCTCACCGTTGAAGCGCCGACGAGCACCACCTCCTTGTTGCTGTCGGAGACGTAAGGGAGCCCGAGGAGTCACCGAGATTGGCGGCTACAGCCGTGTTCGTCGCTGCGCGGGTCCGGCGTGACCTGAAGGCTCTCGGTAAGACTGCCAACCACCCACCTTATTTCTTCTTCTTCTTCGTTTCTACCGGCTGGACGTCGTGGGATGTCGCCGCCTGCTGCCGGTGGCCTCATGGTTACCGTTTCTGCTTATCTCAGTTATGGCAGCCGCCGGTGAGGGTGGCTGAGCTGTGTATGGTCGAGTATATGAGCTATTCTCGTCATTTGTGGTGTTATATGAGAATTATTGTACCGGAAAATCCACAACCACCACCTCAAGGTGGTGGCTGCCACCTATCTTTGCCTTCTGCCGCCCTATGCCGCCACCAACCACCATGGGAGGTGGTTGTGTGCGTGTGTATTTATGTTTGAGGTTGCTTGTGCACTCTTTGGGCAGGAACTGCCACGTCCACCATTAAAAAGGGTGGCTGCCGCCGCCTCCCGCCTTGAGCCGCCGCCGATCACCACCGCCCGAGGTGGCAGTGGGTGATGCCCGGCCTGGTGGAACCCTATTGGACCTAAACACTAACCTTGGGCTGGGCTGTATCGTTATTGGGCTAGAAACCCTAATTCGGGTTTGGAAAACCCTAATTTTGGGTTTGTTAGTTTGGATTTTACTGGGCCCCGCGGTTAGGCTGTTGGATGGATATTGTGAATTAGGTCCAACTTCATTGTATGAATGACCTAGTGGAGTGATGGACTTAATGGGTTAAGTCCTTAATGGGTTAAGTGAGAAACACTTAACCCTAATCGTCATTTTATGTGAAAACCTTAAATTTGTTGGGCCTTGTGTTGGGCCTTTCTATTGGGCTTTGGTGATTGGGCTATTGATGGGCTACCCAAGAGCAATCATGTGGACTAGAATATGTAGATGAGCTTTAGGGTAAGGCCCATATGAGGGTTTGGGCCCAATTTGGAAACTTGGGCCATAGTTGGGCCATTAGAGGACTTTTTGTGGACCCATTTGGTATTGGGCCTTGGTGGGCCCATTGGGCTTAGATTATATATGGACCGGATTGATGGACCATATTTAGACCTAATAATGTGAAAGTTGGTCTTAGATCCTAATGGGGTTATTTGTGGGTTTGACTTAGTGATAGAAGCCGGAGTGTAGCAGCAACATTTATAGGATTTGTTCGCCATCCGAGGTAAGTCTTCTCACTATACTTTACCTAGAGTGGTAATTTATGTGTGTGACCAGAGGGTCTTATGCGCTTGCTTGAGTTATGCATTTTCTGTGTGATATATGTGTTGTATGTTATATTATGTGATACATAGACCGGACCGGAGTGTCCAACGTACTATGAGACCGGAGGGTTCTCAACCAGACCGGACCAGAGGGTCCAACGAGCCATGGGACTGGAGGGTCCCAACCAGACCGGACCGGAGGGTCCAACGAACCGTGGGACTGGAGGGTCCCACTGAGACACATTGACCGGTGGGTCTTACCGAGTTATAGCCTCGAGTGGCTAATTACTTGTGCGTGGTATTTTTGGGGAACTCACTAAGCTTCGTGCTTACCGTGTTATGTGTTATGTGTTTCAGGTACTTCTCAGGATCACGAGAAGGCAACGGCTCGATTGTACACACAAGATAAAGAGTTATGTTTTGGAAGATCTTGGGTTATTAATCAAATAATTATGGAAGTGTGTTTTGTTAATTTGCTAATTGTGATTTTTGTGAAATGTATTATGAGAATTTTTGTAATTTAAAAATGAAAAATTTATTTGAAATTTACAGTGTTACAATTGAGTTTGTGTTTTGGGTGTTTTCTTTTGGTATTTTTTGGAGCTTTTAGGTTGGACGGAGAAACCATTTTTTTTTCACAAAAATTATGTTGTTTGAGTGAAAAAACGAAGAAGGCGAAGTGGGATGAATATATGGTATTTATATAGGGTAAAAAGAGGGTATTTTTTGATTTTTTTTTTTGTAAAAAACAGTCATTTTGACCGAGGTAACGTTAAAAAAAATTAAAACATCCAACCACTTTACTCTCTCTCATCGGCATTTTCCCACCGAGTTGCCGAACCGAGCTTGACATGGCATGCCGAGTCCTCGGCCAGGAGTTCGCCGAGGTAACCGAGTTGCTCACCGAGATCACTCCATCCGGTCTTAGGATAATACGAAAAAGTAGACAAATTTAAGGTTTATTTTATAAATATCCATTAATAGAATCAATCCTATATTTATGCCATATCTTTTCTTTAAAACCATATATATCTCAAGAACGAAAAAGGAAAGTGTTCCTGTAGAAGCTGTTAAATTATACCCAAATATAATAAAAACGTTTATGTAAAGACAAAATCTGTATATAAAAATGATCGTTGCTAAATATATTCCATATCAACAATTAAACTCGAGGGATACTTACGTCCTTTTGTATTCAAGGATTACATGTTTGAAATGTTTTTGAGAAAAAAGGGACCAAAGTCTAGAAAACATATTTGGGGGGATGAGAATGCAAAATTCCAAAAGTTATTGGTTGGTTGGTGAAGTCGCCTATAGTAGCGCCCCCATTCTATAGAAGTTATAGAACTCACCACATCATCCGCCCCAGTGTGTGTTTTTAGGTGAAGAAAGCAGAGTGAGTGCTGTTTGTTCTTGGTGAGAGAAAGATAGAGAGATTCTCGCACGAATCGCTAGGTAAAACTTGGAATTTCTGTGTAGCAATGGATTCGGATTATGGAGTTCCAAGAGAGCTTTCTGATCTGCAAAAGAATCGATCTCTGTACAAACCTGAGCTTCCCCCTTGTCTTCAGGTTTCTCTTTTACAATATAGGTCACAAGTTACTAACTGTGTTCTTCAGATTTGTTCACATATCTACATGCATCTGTTGGCATTGTATTGATTTTGATGTGTTTCATATAAGTTAAATCGTGAATCGAATCAAGGGTTTATGTTTAAAGGTTTTGAATATTCGGTGATTCGATAAGATTGAAAGCGAAATAGATCTGACATATGTAGATCACGTGTTTTGCGATCTATTCGTTTTCGTTTCGCCTTTTCTCGCCCTTTATTCGCGTCACCTTTTTGATTGCTTTGGGTCTGTTTTCGGATTTAGTTTTGACTGCTTTAATTGTTCGAATAGCATCTAAATGCTATGGTTTCTTTTCTGCTGTTATAAATCTAGCGATTTCAGAGATTTAGTTTTGGTTTTAGTTTTCTTTACATCAATCATGCTTCTAATATTAAACCAAACAGTTTTTTGGTGTGGCATAAGATACGGATAATATGACCTAGGGATCCAAAAGACAGGTTGTAATGTTGTATAAAGTTTCAAACTTATAACCTTTATGTGCTTAAAAGAGAGTGATTTGATGTTCTTTCACACATTGAAAAAACAGCATTTTAAGGGGTGATAGACTGATAGTGATGCATGTTTGACTTTTTTTTTGAACTTATCCTAACTTAATAACTATCATGTGCTTAAAAGAGAGCGATTCAATGTTATGTGACATACTGAAGAAACTGCATTTAGTGGTGATAGAGTGATGCATGTTTGACTTTTTTTTGAACTTATACCTATTATCATATTATGTGCTTGAAAGAGAGTAAATCATGTTTGACTTTTTTGACGCCTTATTTCTGGTCATATTTAATTCGTACATGTCTTTGTGCACAGGGAACAACTGTGCGAGTAGAATTTGGTGATGCAACTGCTGCAGCTGATCCTTCAGGTGCTCATGCCATTGCTCGTTCATTTCCTCACACTTATGGTCAACCATTGGCTCATTTCCTCAGAGCAACAGCTAAAGGATCCAATGCTCAGATCATTAATGAGCACCCTGCAGTAAAGTAAGGGTTCCCTTTGTTCAGTTTCTTTCCTTCATGTCAGATTTGCAATAATCATATAAAAAAAATCATGAACAAATAATAACATGTGTATAAATTATAATATCATTGTTCCAGGGTTGGGCTGGTTTTTTGTGGTAGACAATCTCCTGGAGGGACATAATGTTGTTTGGGGCCTTCATGAAGCTCTCAAAAGTCACAACCCTAAAAGCACTTTGCTTGGATTTCTTGGTAAACATTTTATCACTTCCTATGATTGTTCTCACTTGTGAGTTTGGGTTTTAGTTTTACTCATAAATTTTTTGTTATGCTGTGTGATTAGGTGGTTCTGAAGGTTTATTTGCTCAAAAAACTCTCGAGATCACAGACGATATTCTTGCAACCTACAAAAATCAAGGTACTTAATGAGAAATATAATTTTGTTGTTCTTTGTTTCTAGTTTCTTAAAGTAATTTCATTTATGACTATTTTAATCCTTTGAAGGTGGTTATGATCTATTGGGAAGAACAAAGGACCAAATAAGAACCACAGAGCAAGTAAATTCTGCAATGGCTGCATGCAAGGCCTTGAATTTAGATGGTTTAGTCATTGTTGGAGGTATAATTAAACACAATTATCAATAATAATCTTTTTGTCAGATTATTTACTAACAACACTTGTTTGTTTTTCTTTAAAGGTGTAACATCTAACACAGATGCTGCTCAACTTGCTGAGACTTTTGCTGAAGCAAAGTGCTCTACAAAGGTTTATACTTTCTCACACATCAAAATTTCTTTTTCCTTGTATATACCACTAAAATGTTTATAATTTTGCAGGTGGTTGGAGTCCCTGTTACCTTAAATGGAGATCTTTAAGAACCAATTTGTTGAAGCAAATGTTGGTTTTGATACTATCTGTAAGGTTAACTCTCAACTCATCAGTAATGTCTGCACAGATGCTCTTTCTGCTGAAAAGGTAATAATCACTTGACTCTTGAATACATTGATTCTTTATAATTTTTATTATTAAAAACTAATTTGTTTTCTTTCTTTACAGTACTACTATTTTATCCGACTCATGGGTAGGAAGGCATCTCATGTTGCTGTGGAGTGCACTCTCCAATCACATCCTAACATGGTACACTTACATTTCTGTCCATTATACACACTTTATATCTAATTTATCTTGTTCCCCAAATTACCCTTGTGTATCTTTCCTTGTAGGTTATTCTTGCTGAAGAAGTTGCTGCTTCAAAGCTTACCATTTTTGACATAACAAAACAGATTTGTGATGCTGTGCAAGCTAGGGCAGAACAAGGTATTTGACTATTTGACTATTGTTGTTGATATGGCAATAATGGTTATTGATGTAATGATATTGTTTTGATTTTTTATTTTATTTTATTATTCAGGCAAGAATCATGGAGTCATCCTACTTCCAGAAGGACTTATTGAAAGCATTCCAGAAGTTTATGCACTTTTGCAGGTAACTAAATCTTTTACAACAGTAATTTCTTTCTTTCCAGGTAATTAATTAATGCTATGATATTAACAGTTTAATATGTTGTACTTTCAGGAAATTCATAGTCTTTTGAGACAAGGAGTTTCTGCTGATAAAATATCAACACAACTCTCACCTTGGGCTTCTGCTTTGTTTGAATTTTTGCCACCCTTTATTAGGAAACAGGTTTATTTTTTTTTAAAATAATTTCATGTAATTATTAATTATTCATTTCTTGTAAAAACCTATATCTCAATGCTCATATCTATCGTCTTTATTTTTGCAGATTCTCCTCCACCCTGAGTCAGATGACTCAGCTCAGTTATCTCAGATTGAAACAGAAAAGCTTCTTGCAGAACTTGTGGAAGCAGAAATCAATAAACGACTGGTAAGATACAAAATTAGCAAACATACTTTCAATTTAATTGTTTATGATAGTATCCTACTTCCACTTCTTTCTACTCTAATAAACAAATAAATAAAAAGTATGTTGCTGTTTCATCCATTTAACCCTATTATTTATTGATTCATTATCTTTGGACATGTAAACAGAAAGAAGGTACATACAAGGGGAAGAAATTCAATGCCATCTGTCACTTTTTTGGGTATCAAGCTCGAGGTTCTTTACCATCAAAATTCGATTGTGACTACGCCTATGTAAATTTCTTCACTTTTAAGTTTTAACCAATTGTAAAATATAAATTCAAAATATTTACCTAAAGTGGAAGTAATTTTATTATTGTAGGTGCTCGGACATAGTTGTTACCATATTCTAGCATCTGGTTTAAACGGTTACATGGCAACTGTCACTAACCTCAAGAATCCTTCAAACAAATGGCGTTGTGGTGCTGCTCCAATAACAGTATGTCATATACTTTTTTATTTCAATATCAGATTTTTATTACATGATGTGTTGACTTATTTTGACCTTTTTTGAAGGCTATGATGACAGTGAAGCATTATGGTCGTGGGTCAGGGTCAGGGGCCATAACACTTGGCAAACCTGTAGTCCATCCTGCTACTGTGGACTTGAGAGGCAGAGTATACGAGTATGTGATATCATTTTATTTTTTATTTTTATTTTTATGGAAAGAAAGAAAGAAAGAAAGAAACTTGAAATTCGATGTGATAAATGGCACAGGTTGCTTAGACAAAATGCAACAAGATTCTTGATGGATGATGTGTACAGAAACCCCGGGCCTCTTCAGTTTGATGGGCCAGGTGCTGATTCTAAAGCTGTCAGCTTGTGTGTGGAGGATCTTGATTACATGGGTCGTATTAAGGAATTAAACGAATATCTTGACAAGGTTCTGAATTTTAAATCCTTCTTTCTGTAGTATGTCAAAACATATCATATGTATGTATATATAGATTATTATGAGATTTAAGTTTGTGTTAATTTGTATTTTGTACTACAGGTGAGAACGATAGTGAAACCAGGGTGTTCTCAGGATGTTTTGAAGGCGGCTTTGAGTGCCATGTCATCGGTGACAGACATTCTATCTGTCATGACCTCACAGCGGTTGGAGTAGTGGAAGTAGTACAAGTTGAGGATCTTTTCAACTCATTGTGTGTACTCTTCTGTCAGGTTTTCTATATTTTCTCAAAATTTTAGTGAGTATGAGTTCTCTTTTAAGTTTTAAAGGCAAAACAGTTAGAATGCAACTACTTGTTTTTTTGTTATGTTTTTGTGTGGAATCTTTATAATTACAATTAATGTTTGACATTTTTTTTGGTCAATTTCTTGTGTGGTTAATAATTTCGGGTAACAAGATATTAATGGGAGATCAAATAATTGTCACACATTATCTTCCAACTATAGTTTATTGTAATTTTTGTATTATCATATTATGCTTTTGTAACATAAGTAGCTAAAACAATATGAAAATGGTGCTTACTCCTAATACCCTCATCGTTAGTAGAACTTGGCCGTTGTCATCTTGGTTCTCTAACTCCCTTTTCTTTTTCTCTATAGCTTTAGCAAGCTTGTACCATTTTTTTTCCTTTCTTTTATCTCCAATCTCATGTTAGTTACTGTAATTTTTTTGGATAAATAAATTCATAGCAAAATCTGGATTATTATCGAAAGTAAAATAAAACAACCTATTTAAAAGTTTTACTTACAATTCAATGCACAACTCTTATTTTTTAGAAAAAAAAACCTTTTTATTTGTTTGTATATTATTATGTTAAAGAATCAAAGCTTTTAAACAATATACAAATAAATAATTGATTGTCTGATAATTTCAGCGTCAAATATCAAAATCACATTATAATCATATCGTATATCATGTTTTAATACAATTATATCTAATTTCAGTTTTCGAATTCGAATATCACATGATCACTTTATAAGTTCACATTCAATAACCTTTTAAATAAATAATAGATTATAATTTTTTTGAATTAAAAAACATTTTTTATGTTTCTATATTTGTGACGACCAACTTTTTTTTTTCTTTTTGAAAGTCTTAATAATTTATTAGAGACAAGTTAGCAAAAACAAAGATATAAAATTACAAAGGAATGGACAATATATGATTAAATCACCATGAGTTTATGCTAATACTAAATCCTTTATTCCTATTAACGAAAACCAATTGTAAAAATAATAATTAAACTGACAACCAACTCTTTTTTAGTTTAAGGGTGACTTAAAATTAAATCATATTAATGTAGGACAAATCTTAACTATTTTGTAAGTTAGAATACAAAAGCATACCTACTTGATAGTTATTTGGTTATTAAGAGTGACTACCACTTATTTGACTATTCCAAAAGTATACTTATCACTACCATTTCTTCATCAAAACCTTAGAAAATGATCACCGCTTCACTTCACCGATATCATTTTAATTTCTTATTTAGTTTAATACAACATTTAATTAAATAATATTTACTTTAACAATATAAAAATAATTAAAAATAAAAATGACATAATTAAAATAGTTTCTAGTCATTGCCATCCACATCATCGTCATCCATATGCTGTTGTTTTCTTTCGTATATATGTTCCGTAAAATCATAACAAAGTTTGTGGTGTTATGCATTTTGTATCTCTAAAATGCTCGCAAAGTATGGTAGGTTACCATGTACTATTTGTGAATGCAAGTTAAGTTCGTTGTTTGGATTATATATACAAATAGCCTAACCATTTTTTTCTATTATCATGTTATGTAAAAATAGAACATATATTACCTTCCTTAGTTTTTTCAGGTTCCTTGACTGTGTCGGGTATTTAAGTATATGTCATTTCTCCTTTATGAATCCAAAGCACGTTCCACATCTTTTCTTACCGCTTTTTGTGCTGTTTTGAACAGTTTTCTTTTTTCATCTTGTGGATATGGATATGATTTGACAAATATAACGTACTATGTATATATCTCATCACCAAGATAATAACCATTCTTGTACTCATTTCCATTCATAATAAAAGGTAACTCATGTGTTTTGCCCAACAAAATTCCGTTGATTATCGAAGATGCGCCAAGAACATTCAAATCGTTGTTTGATCCTGACATACCAAAGTATGCATGCCAAAACCATGGATCTTGTGACACCAGTGCCTTTATGTCACACCCCAAAACCGGAACGGCGGAAACGTTCGGGGGTGGAGGACGTCATGTTTAATATCACACGATATGTATATAGTAAGCAAGCAATGAACAACCATTTCATTTAGAAAGAAAGTGTTTACAATGTGTGTGTTCACAAAACATAGAATTCATAAGCAAATAACAAAACAAGACTTGAAGCTATACTGCTCCATCTTCTGAATTCCTGGCACGAGTACCCGTCTAATCGGCTCCTGAGAATACAAGTTATTTGAAAGAGTTGATCAGCAATTAAGCTGGTGAGTTCATAAGATTTTAGTGATGTGAGTAAGCTGTAAAATGTTGTTAAAAATGTAGTTGTAAAATGTAGTAAGTTGTAAGTTCTGTTTAGAAAAGTTCGCCTGTTCCTCTAGAAAATCCTATATTTCCTACTTGAATGAAAGGTAAGTAAAAATGACTTTACAACCCTTTCTATGAGTACTAAATGGATACAAGTTATATAAAACTCAGAGTAAACAAACAATCGACTGTGCGCATCTGCCCCAATCCCACAACCAAACAAGGAACATGAATTAGGGCGGATAGCACACATCCCATTGGTTGTTAGATCATTGTTGTATATAACCCTAGTGTATTCACTTGTTACTCATGGAGTTAGTTGTAATTGTTCCTTTAGATTTGATGAAAAGATCCTTTAAGAAAACCCTTATTTCTTATGATAAAATGATGACCACAGTGACTACTTTTATAATAACTTAGTTTATACTGGATATATATGATCTAATATCGGATAGAAAGTTAATTGGGTGAATCTGCCCTAAGCCCACAACCAAACAAGGAACAGGAAGTAAGGTGGAAAGCACACATCCAACTACCTATTGGGTATTAATTATATATAACCATGATGTATAAACTAAAGTATTATAGAGTTAATCACCTTAAGTTTCACTGGTTAATAAAATGGATTAAACCCATCTGGTTAAGTTTCTGTTTTGTATACCAAAAGTTCTGATTTGGAAAGTGTTTTGTACTAGAAAACTGTGCTTTGACTCTGTGTCCTATGACCTGACCCATACCTGGTACCCTTATGATGTCTTAATGTATAAAGCATATATATATATATATATATATATATATATATATATATATATATATATATATTAATATATTATAGATCGAATAGAAAATAGATTGGGTGAATTCGTTCCAAGCCCACAACCAAACAAGGAACAGGAAATGAAGCGGAGAACACACATCCTATTACCTGTCGGATCCTATTGGTGTATATATATATATATATATATATATATATATATATATATATATATATATCCTATGATGTATACATTAAGGAATCATAAGATTAGCATTATGGTCCTTTTTTTAAACGTAGCCTTCTACCAAGGCATCTACTGTTATGTGCTAGACTCGACTGTTCTGTTTGTCGTTTGTAAAAATGTATGTTTTCCCTAGTTTATAACTATCTTAACTCAAAAATAGTTTTAGTAATGGGAAATGTAAGTACAAAGTGGTCGTTTAAAATGACATGCGGATGTACTAATGACCTAAAACATGTTGTTTTATTATGGTCATAATGTGAAGGCTAGTACCCCTACTAAACGTTCTCTCTGTCTGGAGATTAAGGGAACCAAACGCGACCTCTGCAAATTCTTGCAAGCCGTGTAATTCACATTTTATATGATCATGTATACCCAATATAACTATCACCTTTGTTTTTAAAACAATGAGTTAGTGATTCATTGGTATAATTAGATCCTGTATGTTCTCATGCTATAGCAACCTAGTTTGTTTGTTCTGTATGGTATTGTTTATTTCTCATCATAGTATTCTCTCTGTATGGTATTGTTTGTTTCTCATAATAGTGTCTCTCTCTGTATGGTATTGTTTGTTTCTCATAATAGTGTCTTTCTCTGTATGTTATTGTTTGTTTCTCATAATAGTGTCTACTCTTGTATCTAGCATGAACTGAACCCCTAAACTATACCCCTTATAGTTTACTAGTAATTTACTTGTACTGTTGTTGAAAAGACTCATTTTCTACGAAGTTATGTTGATACCTTTAAAACGGAGTTTTGTTAAACTATAAAGTAACATAATTTTAAAAGAGTTTTGAAATGTTTTGACAACTTATAATGACATAAGTAACATTTTGAAAGATGTTTATAACGAACAGTTACACAATTATCATTGTGTTCAACTTGTATTCCCCCCTTAAAACATTTAAAACAGTTAAAAGATTCATTACGTGTGACATCCCCATTTTCACGGCCAGAAAAGACCGATTTTGTTTATGCTTTGTTTAAAAATCAGAGTAACATTTTAAATAAAAGTGTTGCGGAATTTGTTCCCAAAATAAAATTATGATAAAGACTTATCAAAGCATTTCCGTAGAAATGTATTTCATTAAAAACATCGGGATGTCATGTTCGATACAGATCAAAAGCATAAACAGTACAATATAGCCTTACTACATTTATCATAATCTCTCATCCCAAACATCATATCTATGCTCGTGCGCCACTACCTGTAATACAAGAAACTGAGTGGGTCAGGCTTGGGAGCCTGGTGAGCACATAGGGTTTTCAACCCACAATAAATAAGTTTATTAATTTCATCAATCAACAATAACCCGATTACCCGTTCCCGTTATCCTCACATTACGTCCCTAAAACACCTATCATAAGGGACCTAGATAAGGATCAATATCGGGATGGACACTACTGCCAGGGGTTTCCTCAGCAATAAATGTCCTAAAGGCAACCATGAGGGGGATGGAGTACACGGTGAACACATCGTTCACAAAACACCTACAGGTTGCGAGCCTGCTAGCGTTCCACTGGACTGTCTAGAAGAGTCTGTGGTCGTCATCCTACTCCGCTAGATGACAGAATCAACAAACAACAACATCGAGGCCTCTCATCATTTTTTTCACACATCGTCTTATTACATCTACCCATGTTTTACCCCAATATTTTTGTAGATATAAAATACATATACAGTTTAAATTATTTAAAAACATGTATAAAAATCTTTCATCAGCATAGGCAGCAAGTATTCAGATAATATGCCCACATAGCACGTAATTAATATAAATGCTTCATATCTATGTGTAAGATGAAAGTAACTATGCACTCACCTGATTAGGTGGTGACTCGGTACTCGAACAGCACTCCGTTATCTCAAAACAATTTTTCCTTGATCAAAACCTAGTATTAATACCACTAGCGT